TTTCAAGGTTGCATAAGCATCAAGGAGAAAAGTGATTGAGGGACACTGAGGGGACTTCCGGTTAATTCACAAAAATGTATATACAGAAGAATGATAGTGACATCCTCAGTGTCATAGCTTTGGGAGACATGAGATGACAGTGGGTAAATCTGGTTAGGTTCCACCTGTACCACCCTCTTGTCAGGGTTTGCAGCTCACTGGAAATTACACTTCCCAGAATCCCCTCCAGTGGATCAGTCAGGGTTAGGGGTCATCCATGAAGAGACATTGTTGTAGGATTTGGAAATCTCAAAATGAGGAGGGGCAGAGTAATGCACACAGTCATAATGTGTGAGGGTGCTTGCAAGTGAGTTACCAGAGAGTCATTGACCTGCACAGGTGCTTCAATGTGAAAACTCCAGCAGAGGGTTCCAAGGTGCCCCTGGGGTCCTATGTAACTTTACTACAACCCGTTAGAACCTACAGCCTCCCTGCTGGTATCTCATGGTGGTTTGGGTACACCTAGCATTGGATATTTCCAGACACTACCTCTCTCTGTATACATTCCTCCATTTCTTTTGACACAGTGTCACAGTTGGCCCTTGGTTCATATGTCCAGTGGGGATGATGAAGGTCAGGAGTAACCTTGGAATCAAGGCACAGAGCTTTGGATAAATCATCTTGTGTCTTTACTGCTCAGTGACTCTGGTCAAACTGTAATAGTTCTTGGCATACCCTTGTTTAATGGGGATGGAAATGTCCACTTACTCCCATACGTTGTAAGAGCAGATTGAGAACAACATGGTCTTTGATTTAAATAGAAATGGTTCCCCATAAGACACAACAGTCTACTCTATATTCATGTGGATTCTACTTCTGATAGCTACCACTTAGACTGGCAATGGCTGTTGTGCTGGAATGTATCCTGTCCACATAACTTATTTCAAGAAACCTTTATCTAACAAATGTGTCGGTAATTTTCATAACGTGGTACTCAGTGAGGACACTACACCTAGGTTTCCGGCAGGTAACAGCAGAGGTTAAGGATATATAGCTCAATGATTATCCCCCACACCCCAACAATACCCTGAAGTCTAGGGCAGTGCTCTGAGAGAAAAAAGAGGTGAGCATCCTACATTCCTACATATTCCAGAACCTGAATCATTCTGAGAATGAAGCCTCTGCTTTGAGAGCATCTGTTCCAAGAAAATAATTGTGTTAGTTCCTTCAATTCACCCCATCCCCCTCCCTACTACTAAAACATCAATGTTTGGCAAACACAGTATTAAATAATATTGTGTTATTTAATATGATAATAAAATAATATTATTAAAATAATCATCCACTTGGAAGTTATGCTTGGTGGTTAAATGGACTCTGGCAATGAGTCAGCAGATAAATGTCTCCCATCCTCGTTCCTTTGAGCTTCTGAAGACAGCATGGTTGAGAGTGGAGGTGAGCAAGGCCAGCCTTTCCACTGACTGGGCCCACCCTTGTCATCTCACAGAGCTATCGAAGACACTGACTCTTCCCCTAGGTTTCATGACTCAGTTTTTACTGAGGGGAGTCAACTTTCTATTACGGTAACAGATACCTGACATAATTATTTTGGCTTACAGTTTGGGGGACCTCAGTCCACGTTTGGCTGGCCGATACAAAGCACAAACCATCATATCATGTCATAGCAGGTACACATGAAGAAGGCCCTCACCTTGTAGCAAAAAGCAAAAGAGAAGAGGAGGAAGAACTGTGGCTTCAATATCCCCTCCTTGCAGGCACGCCCTCCATGATGTGATTTCCTCCTAATAAGCCCCACCACTTAGAAGCTCCACATCTCCTAAAAGGGTCACAGGTTAGTGATCCAGCTTTGAACACATATCCTTTGCAGGATAATGACCCAAACCCAGACAAATATATGGTGAGCACTATGGCCCCATGCTAGGCGTTGTAGGTACAGATGCAAGAAAGTAGGAACAGCATTCTCTACTCCCCACAAAAGCTGGTATCTATAGAAAACTTACCAAACAGGAATGTAGACAGTAGAATCAGAGAAGCCCCGCCCACACCCTGGAGATGTAGCATTTAACCCAATAAAGACCTGAGGAGTCTTTGATAGAAAGGAGGGAGGAGAGCTAGCCTTGCCTCTCACAGGGCTTTTATTTGGGAGTTTAACACACACACACACACACACACACACACACACACACACACACACACACACAGAGGACGGCTCTCACAGAAAGTAGAAGATAAACAATCACATGAGCAAGAGCTGGAAAGAAATGTGCTAAGGGCTCTCAAAAGAGAGAAAACGCAATGCAGCTCAAAGCAGCAAGTTTCAAGCAGGAAGTGGAAAGTTCTGCACATGCCTACTCCTATGATAGATGGTATCCATAGAAGTAACAAACAGAATAGCCCAGTGCCCCACCTCCTGATCATCCACCTCGGCTCAGTTTTTCTTCACGTTTTGCTACCAATCTTGAGCCGTGGATCCTGGGCCCATCAAATTCGACATTGGAAGTTACAGAAAAGGACAAGTGGAAATGGAACCGGCATAGGAAGGCAGCAATTTGCACATGAACATAAACGCCTCTCTGCCAGTTGTTGCAGTTGTTGATGCGGAAGAAAAATAGATTGGGAACTGGGTGGATCAAACTGTTTTCAAGTTCCAGTTCGGACACTGTAGATCAGGCATTTGGAAGGATTCTGGCAGGACTGACATAGTTTGCTTCCATCCTGTGCACGGAGGCTCTCAGAACAGGTACTCACAAGCCATTTCCACTAAGGAATTAATGACTAGCATTCGAATGCTTTGCTAACTTATAATAATGAACACTTAGAATGATAGCCTTAAATGTAAAAACAGCATGGCATTAAGTCATTTCATTTTGGGTACCAAAACACCAATGGCTTTCTCCACGTGGTTATATGTAATTCAGGCCAAGAGGAAGCACAGTGGTTGTGCCATCTCTTGAGCTAGACACTAAAACCACAGCCAACCTTCAGGAGCTACTTTGGCTCTCTCTGTCTTCTTGTGACTATGCACCCAAAGAACACTGTTACATGACACAGTCCTATTTTCAACATTCAACTTTTGAGCCCAGGAGTTCAGAGGACCAAGCAACAAGGACATTAAATATATGGGATATATGGGTGCTACTCCTCAGTAAAACTGGTTTATCGCTTGTTAGATCCCTTTAGCATTTTCTATTTTTTCCATTTTTTTAGGCTGTGATGTCATCCAGGAGTATTGGTGTATAGTCTATCTTAGTAATTTTTGCACATATCAAATGTTACTAAAACTATCCCTAAAACTTGGACTGGAGATGTAGCTCATGATTAAAATATTTGCCTGTACATAGGACACCTAAGTTTGGTCCCCGACATCACAACACAGACACATATACACACACATATACATATACACACATACATACACACATGTGCATATGCACGCACACATACACACACCTTCCTTTATTCCCCCAAGGCTTACATTTTACTACTAAATTAACAGATGACTTGTGACTCATTCTTGAGGAACCCCAATCATCTCATGAGACCCTCCTACTATGAAATCTAAATACCATTGGCAGATATGATCTTTGTAAGTGGACTTGGGGTCTTGGAGACTTCAGACTCCATTCAAAATTATTCAACAGCCTATAGAGTGCAATTATCCTTATCACAGTGCCAAAAAACAATATACTGGTGAAAACCTGAAGCCGATTTTAGAGTGTCTGCATTATTCCTTGTAGTAGTGTTAACTCCGTTACTCTTTCCCCTAATATTGTTTTTTCCTTGGGCATTCCCACCCAAGAGTCCCAAGAGAAGTGTTCCAGACCGTCAGGAGAGCATCCACTGGAGAGACTTGTTCATTCCCCTGGGATATCCATATCCTGGCACCTAGTCCACCTGACTGAGCAAAACTGACTTTCCCAAAGCTGACACTTGATGAAGAAAATCACAGCTGAACTATAATGAGGTCAAAAGTCACGTATAGGAGAGAGAGTTCCACTGATACCCATATACCAGCCAATGCATAAAAGTACAAGTCACAGATTCCTGAAGCTTGACGTGACTCTCTTAATCACTTCCTGCAGACTATTAATGTCCCAGTCATACAGCTCATAAACTGCCACCACTTTTGAAGCTCTTCCAAAGCCTTTTATTCTACCCATACTGTGTCATGAAGATGACCAAGAGAGCCTGTACCTGTTCAGTGACCCCTGTGGGATTTTTACACTGGAGGAAGCTGTGTTTAAAGCGTGCAATGTCCCTCTTCTAAGCCTGCCCTTATTTAACCTTGAAAGACAATTCGCAGTTAAGAAACAGATCTGATCACGGGAGGATATACCAGTAAACACATCAGACCACATGGCCTCTTCCTGCCCTCAGCAGTTCCAGCTCAGCCAGTGACATATTCCTTGGGCCCAGAAGCTGGTTAAGGGACAAGACTTTTTCAAATGATATTCTATGTCAAGATTCTGTTTGCTTTTGAATGAACATGTCAGAGATGCAAAAGGATTTCAATAGTAGAAGAATCACACAAACCAAATTATGTTTTCAGGACCGGAGAAGCCAGCAGAAATCAAGGTTCTTTTGGAAGTTGCCAGGCAAACCGAAGTTCCTTTGAGATGTAATATAGAGTTTACTCTCTTTGAAATTACACATTTCAACTCTTACATTTCCACACATTGCTATTTTAACAAATACTACTGGGTTTCCCAGTGTCTCTCCATGACTATTACTGCATGGAATGGTCTTATAAGTAATTGTTAAATACTATAATCTTTCTGTTTAAAGCGGGAGGTCACAAAATTATACCATGGGTTTATATGTCTCCCCTGCTTATCTGGGTTAAAATCTTTAGGTTTGACAGTACAGATCCAAAGCCTAAAAAAAATCACTAGGCTCCTTGTCATAGGACAGGCACAGTAAGGACCACCAAGCTCCAGAGCTCTGCCTAGCCAAGTATCCAGGTTACACTCACTGACAGCAACAGAAGGCTGAGTTCCTACCTCGGTGACTGGTGAGCTCTCTGGACACAGAAGGCAAGGGTGTGTACTGGAGGTGGTCCTCGGGAGAGGCAGCATCATCCCCACTGGAAGCCTGCAAGGAAAAAGCAAAATGTCACCATGGAGAAACACCAAACGCCACCCACGGGCCCTTGATTACTAAACATATTTCACTGGGATGTGAATTTGGAGAATGGGATCCACTTGGGCCATCCTCTACCTGTTGAGATAGAATTCTAGTTAGCATGACCACAGGCAGATACAGCATTTTGGGGTGCTTCGAGATAGAGGATTTGTTGATGATGTTGTAGTCATCATTGTTGTTAGGCAGAGCTGAAAGGAGAGGAGGAGAAAGAAGGAGCTGAAGGCAGGACGTGCTGTAGACTAATCCTGCTCCAGGCATGCTCCCGGAATTGGGGCAGTGAATGCCGGCTGTAAGCAGACTTCTATGGCCATCACTGAGGATGAGATAGCATAGACCAGGGAATCAGGACTAGCTTATGTGGACCTAGTGGCACAGAGGTGGAAGAAAGTAAAATCCATGTGACTCTGCATCTGGGCTGTGGGTTAAGCATAATATCCACCCTGGAGAAATCCCTCTGAAGTTTGAATTGGGAATATAAATTTAATATTTCAATACAGACTATTTCATACTTCACTGTTTGGGATATTTGTGGATACATAATAAGGTACACTGAAGATGAGACCCAAATCTGAACATGGTATTATTTTATTCCCTGCACATCTTATACACAGAGCCTACAAGCATGCCATATAATAGACTTAGTGTGCCTGCATTTTCTTCTGTGGGGCCAGGAGAAGCTTCCACTTGTGGCATCAGGTTAGTGTTCAAAAGGTTTGGGTGTGCAACTGGTGGGATTTTAGATGTTTTAGACTAGGGATGCTCAGTATGTGTGAGGGTTAGCAATGAGGCATCATAAGCTGGAAGGTTAGCAGAAAGTCAGACTCCATGATAGAGTCTCCATGAGGGCAACCTCTATGACAGAGTGGAACTGGGTACCGATGTAGCTGTTTGGAGGGGGCGGGGCTTTCCCAGGCTCCTGTAAGCAACCCTTCACCTATGCTTGGTAAGGAAGCCCAATGTTCTCATTGATTTAGGGGGAAAAATCATTCAGATTCCCCAAAGAAGATGACATATAGGACGGCATTCTGTTTCATTTTATTTTGTGTCTAATTGTACATCAGCAGCTTTTTGATGGTAACAAATAACTGTGGCTAGTTACCCTGTGGGGAACTGTGTAGAGGGTAGCTTGTGCCTGTGGTGTTAACCCTTTCCTGAACTCTATATCCTTGTGAGCTAAGCAGAGAGAAATTATGACAGCTTTAGAGTTTATGTGCAATGGTACCAGTGGCCAAGACGTCCCCTGAAGAGCCTGGCTACTTTGACACAAAGCATCACCATTATACTTAACTGAGATTTCTAAATTAAATGCAACTTTTTTTTAATATCCGAAAAAAGAACATCTGCTAGAAGTGAAATCCTAAGCTTTCAACCTTTCCAAAAGCCCCATGAAAAAGTAAATTTCATTAATGCCTCATTTTTCTTTCCAGAAGAAGAAATCCATTCTAAGGGGTATGTTTACCTTGCTAGAAGCGGGCCTTCTCTGCAAAGAGATTACCTGTGCTACGGGAATCTGAACTAAGGGCAGATTAGACCTGCTTGCCACGAAGACCCTTTAAACTTCATTTCTGACATTTGAGGTGTTTGATTAAGCAGCTTTCAGGGCAGACTTACAGAGAGAGGTCTGAACAGAGCAAAATTAGAAGCTCTGTCCCTCAGCGGGCTCAGATTTGAGGGAACACTTGTCCCCTCCAGCTGAAAGGCAAGCATAATGAACACACAGGGCATTTAAAGCTGGGCCCCAGTGTATTGGAACCAGACAGAGAAAAGTGTGGCCACAGAGGAAAGTGTTCTTAAAGGGCTTGCTACACCCCCACCCCTGAACACTTGGCATGCTGCAAGTATGTGGACGAGACAGAAAATTAATTAAAATCCAAATCCTACATCTGCCAATTGTCTCTTCCTTTGGCTACTGAGGTCTACTGTGGCCGACATGATACTTGAAACACAGCAAAAGTGTTCTAAACATGGAGGCCTTTCTGTGCTGGCTGAAGGACAGATAAAGGGGTAGGATGGGGACCATCCAGCACACTTCCTCCAAAGGTACCCCAGACTTTCTTTTCACCAGTGTTCCTGCGGCACCTCATCCTTAAAAATAAATAAATAAAACATGGACTCCCAACCCAATAGGAGTGCTGTGGTATGGAATTTTTAAACTTGGATTTTGGCTGTTGTTGATGATGTGATGAACAGCTGTTCCTAAAAAACAAACTGGAAGATACACTACCTTTCAGCAAATACCTCTGACTGTACAAGATATCAGAGTTCTGTAACTGAGAGGAAAGAGACTTAGTCTTGTTTTCAATTGTAGAGAGGACAAGAGTTTTGTAGCTGTCATACAATGTCCAGCACTTAATTACTAGGCTTTTTTGGTGGGATTTATATAGCTCAGTGTTTCAGGAGACTCAACAAATCAAGATTTCAACTACCTGTTCTTCAGCTTGGCTTTTATCAAAATTAAAACCACTGGGCCTTTTCAGTGTGATCCACACATATGTTCTCCACATCTTATCCTCAGAAACACAACTCATAAAAGCCAGGTTAGCATATGAAAGAAACAGACAAGAAAATCCCTTCCCTTTGCACACTATCTGCCAAAGGATAGAAAACTCACCTTGGACTTGAGGCAACACACACATAGCAACTTGAATATGAGCTAAAAGAGGCATAAATAGGCAACATGTACATGTTTTCTTTTATGTGTATTAAGAAGAAATGCCTACGGTAAGAACAAGGAAATCTGGACAAGCCTGAATCTCCAGGACCATAAAGATCCTCCAACCTTTGATTCCTTGCCAGTTTTCCTAAGTGCCGATGGCAGAGATTTGTAGCTTCACATTTTACTTTTATCTCCTGTTAGAGGATATTTGCCATGTCTACAATAAAATATTAGTATTCAAGATACATGAAGAATGTCCTCCGGTCAACAAAAATACATACTAGAAGGCAATGGGCAAAGGAAATGCCAGGGGTTTCAGAGAAGAGGACCCACACAGTCAATAATCAAGAGAGAATTTCCTCAGATTTGCTAACAGGCCATGAGAGCTAAGACAGAATGTGATTCTGCCAGCCATGGTATCATCGGACTTCATTTCCTCATGTTAGAGCACAGAGAAGAACATGAAGGCCAAGGGGAACATGTTGCTGGTTCAAGTGACTTAGAAAGGTGGATGGCATTCCTGAGGATGACACCTGGGGTTGTCCTATTACCTCCACATGTTCACATTTGCCCACTGGTACGCACACACAAATAAAAATATAAGATTCATAAGCTAGAGAAAATTTCACCCACACATCTACAAATAGAAACGTGAGATGACTTTTATTGGTGCATTATTTCTAACAGAAAACGCTGAAATAACTTAAATAACTGTCAATAAGGAGTCAATGAAATAGTATATATTTATATGAAAGGCTAACACTTAGTGTTTAAGAGCAATAAGCCTGGTTTAAAATATCTTAATTCGGATAAGCCTAAAAATTTCTAAAGTGCAAGTGGTCAAATGATAAATATTGCATGGTTTTTACCTATATCCTTATGTGCCCATTTGATTTCCTAATGTGCAAAAATCTCAAAATTATAGCAGATACATATAAAAGTTATGAAAGTCCTTGCCTCTGCCAAGGGGCACAGTAATTAGACTGGAGTTAATTCAGTATGTGTGCTGGTTATTTCTATTGATCAAAGAGCAGGTTTGACACAGAGACTTCAACATATTAAAAAATGACGTCTTTTAAATGGTGGCTATCTGTACCCTTAATGTTTAAACCTTTCCATACTTTTGAAATTTTTAAAAATTAAACATAAAAACTAACAATACAAAGACTCCCATTTCTAGTCCATGCAATCTTCTATTGAGATCAACCCCAAGTGATGTCCTACCTCTTGTATAATGTAGACTAATGTCATCTCAGGTTGTGATTGTGATAAATATATCTCATTTGTACTTCTCATAAAGCTGCTGAATATGACCCATAGAATGAACAAAAAAAAAAAATTGAGTAATGGCAAAGATGTGTTCCAGATTCCAAGGCTTGAGGTGTTTATCCCAGCCTTGCAGGAGACTCGCTGAAGATCTACCCATGCACTGGGAGGGTCCCTTGAGTGTTCATTCACCCATTCACAATAGGAGAGTCGCTAACAACATTTTAAAAATCACAGCAGTAATGGTTAATGGGCACTAACACATTGTAGAAGGCAATTTCCATCAAGCAAGAGGTGTCAGGTCCAAAGGAAGCTCCATTTCCCCAAATTTGGGCAGTCAAACAAAGGCCAGCATTCCTCAGGACCTTGCCAGGCAGGTTCCCCTCCACTAAAAGGGCCCATTTCCCTAATCACCAGCAGAAATGACAAATGGCAACCTGTGGTCTCTTAGCATACCAAAGCCCATGCGGGCTCCCTCAGTATGGCAAGTACCAGTTACACATTTCGGAATCTATGTTAGCACCCTAGCCCTTCTCACCTCCTCTCCTACCCTCAACATTTCCAGCTCATGGACTTCTCTCCCTTCAGCTACTCATTCTCCTTATAACTCTGCTATTTCAGCCATTCACTCTCTTGTTGTCTCTGTCTGTCTTCATCTCCTACCCCTCCGCCACTCTCCCTCCCCTTCTCTCTCTGCTCTGCTCCTGCTTCTCACCCAGCCTGGTCCAGTTCGCTGGCCATATTCAGCCTGCTACTTTTCTACCTCTGCTCTGGACTCCTCCAGATGCCCCTGGCTGTTCTCTCTCTCTCATATCTACAAGAAAAACTTCCCCCTTGACCACACCACAGAGTGGCCGGCTATGTCATCAGTGTGTACGGGAGGGAGGCTGGAGCTTTGAGAACTCTGTTGGAAAAGGTTCAGTGAAAGTCCAGAACATTCTAGGAGAGACTTATAGAGTGAGGATCTCTAACAGTGACCACAGGAAACAAAAGTGCTTGGGTAACTATGTGACATTCAAGACCCTTC